GGAGCACAGCTTTGTCCATAACAGGCAGTATTTGAAGTGGGAGAAAAAGGGACATGGGTACAGTGTGATGATGGCTGGGAGATTAAAGCTGTGGGCGCTTAGAGTTAGGTACCAGCTTCACGTAATGATTGGGCCCAAGTTCGCGTGTGTATTTGTCTTCTGGGAAACCAGTAGGACAGCATTCCTCTTTAAGCCGCGAAGTAAAGTTCTTTCTAAAGGATCTTTAATAATGTCAATAATAACAATGATGATCATAATCATAATAGCAGTTAACATTAAGTGTTTACCAAGTGTCAGGCATGGCTCTAACTGCTTTACATATATTAACTCATCTAATATAACAGCCCTACAAGGGGTAATATTGGCCTAGTTTTACAATTGAGACTGAAGCCTAGAGATTTAGTAACTCGCTCAAAGTCACAAAACTAGGAAGCTGAAGTTTGAGCCCCAGCAGTTTGGCTCTAGAGCATCCACTCTTCATCACTGTCTGGAGACAGACTCTCTTTAAATTTTATGTTTCTAAAGGGCCTTCTGGAAAAGCTCCCCTTTAGAAAAAAAAATTTAAAAGACCAACATTTTGATAGGTAAAAGGACCATGATTCTATATAAAGAGATTTTTAAGTGTGGCTATGACCAATGATGAAAAATAACTTATGGGCTCCTCACTGTTTGCTGTGGTTAGAGGAATCATTTTCCAAATCCCAAATTGGGCTCGCGCCCTTGCCATTTATCACATGCTTACTATTTGCTAAGTATTGTTCTCAATACTCAACAGACATCTCAATTAATCCATAGAACCACCCTGTGAGGGAGATGTGGTCTCATTTTACTGCTGAAGAAACCGAGGCCCCGAAGAACATAACTTGCTCAAGGACACTCGGCTGGTGGTTAGAATTTGAACCCAGGTCTTTCTAACACAAAAGTCCATGTTGCTAACCAATAAGCTGCAGGTACACTGTCTGCCATGTGGCTGAAATATAAGAACAGATTTGCCACAGACAAGGGTCCTGTAAACTACAGCCCACGGGCCAAACCCAGCCTTCCACATGTTTTTGTAACCCACATTTTATTGAAACACAGCCACACCCCTCTTATGACGCGTCCACGACTGTGTTTGCCCAGCAGAGCTGAGTAGTCATGGCAGAGACTGTATACTTGCAAAGCCTAAAATATTTACTATCTGGCCCTTTGCAGAGAGAGACACAGTCTGTACAGTTGCCCTGTCTCAGAGCAGGGAGATTGTCGCTGCCAAGTCTCACTCCCTAGACACTCCGCATTGGCATAGCGTGGCCTTAACTAGATGTTCCTTCCAACAGGGTCAAAGCCTCCCTTTCCCTCTCCTTATTCTCCAACCAACCAGCAACCAGCTTACAGAGACACTTGATGCAGTCTGCCTTCTACAAATTACAAAGAAAACGGGGAGGTTTCAGAAAAGTTGATCCATTTAAACTTATGGGGTTCTATTTCACAATGAAATATTTGGATTCCTAGGACTGCATGGTCAGTTTTAACTTCTCGCCTTTCATGTCTGTCTTTGGTGGCCCTTGTTTATTTACTTTGGTTTCTAGTGACACTAAAGGAGGCGAGAAGCAGAGGATTGGGGAAAGGAGGGACTTTTTGAGGGGGTTTGAGCTGAATCCATTTGGACTGTTTCCAATGTATCAGTAACCTCAGACAGCTGCCAAAGGCGCAATTAGACTGCTGCAAATCAGGAGACTTATGTCTGTGCAGCAGCTGGGGTGTAAGGCAGTCTGCCCTCTGGCCCCTAAGTGTGGAGAGCCTGAACACTGCTATTATTGATTTATACCTCGGACAGAGAAGCAACCCAAGAGGAGAGGCAGAGCCATAGCCAAGCAGCCCCATCTCCCCACCTTTTCAAAGTCCCCATATACAAGCCACTGCAGGGACGATGACAGCCAGCAGGCTTTGTGGGGCAGACGAGGCCTCTCATTTCCTGTCAGTCTCCAATTGCATTAGGAACCCCACCCCAGTTCACTCCAGGGCTTTAAGCTCCATTTGGAGAGCTCTGTTTTCAATGTCTTTTCCACCTACTTCCCTGGAACCTCTGTTACAGCTGTAATCCGCAGCAAATGGATTTCCCTGACCCTAGGACAAAGGCCTAGTGTTCCCTAGACTTGGCGGCTCCTGGGAGGGCAGGACCATCAGCATTTCTCCAGCTGCTGGTCTCAGGCCCCATGGGCGGCAGAGACCTGTAATAAGATCACTAGCTAAGCCGGTTACAGTCAGCACATCATTCAAAGTGGTCCCCTGTGATTAGGAGGGGAAATTGACTAAAGTAAGAATCACAGCCTTCAGAGCTTGAGCTCACACAAAACCACACAGTGAGTTGGAACCCAGAGAAAAGCAGATTTCCAGTTCTGGACGTTAGCCATTAATCAGATTTGGCTGGTGTTCATAGTGGGAGTCCACAGGGATCAGTAGCCTTGGGGAAGAAATAAGGAGCTAGTTAGAAAAAGAAGGGAGGAATAAGAGTAGGAATTAAAAGGAAATTGAAAAGTGGTGTATAAAATGCTTAAAGCCTAAATACTAAGAAAGTGTAAGGGTTCCAATTTTCTAACATGGGGTGGCAGAGTTGGGGGGTAACGAAAGGCCACAGATGCCTCAGTAACCCTCACTGAGACTTCAGAACCCCACCACTCCCCCAGACCAGAGCTCTGAGGCAGAAGGAAGGTAGGACAGGGGAGGCCCTAAAAGCCTGGGTTCAAAGAGGGGAACTGTAGTAGAAAAAGTTTGAAAGCTACTATATAGGTCCATGCTTCCTAATTTTTTTTTCCCACTCAAGTTTCCTTCCCCTGGGAGACCAATGAGAAAGTGGCATATGGCAGCTTCAGATTCCTTCTCAGGGAAAACTTCAACCCTCTGGTTGACTAAATCACCACGAGTCCAGTGGGTTTTCTGAGGGCACCTCCCATGTTCATGCTACTGGAGAGAGTCCAAGGAGTCCTGCCTATCTCTTTAAGTGAGGCGCTTTCCCAAAAACTGGATGTCAGTTTTTGTGTAGGAAAAACAAGGAAGGTAGTGGTAACTTTTGATTTCTTAAACTGATTGGTAGGTGCACATGCCTATGATTTTTTATGTATGCATTATCTAGAAAGAGAGATTATTTTATCAGTATAAAATATTTAATAGACATTAATTAATAATTAGGGGATTAAATTCAGTGATCTTGCCTCCTTTCCACCCCTAAAAATCTAGCACGCTCTGATATGGACTTTGCCCAATGTCATTAAAATAATGGCTCCAAGTGAGAATATGGGTGAACTCTGCAGGCATAGTTTGGAAAGAGCTCTGGCTTTGGAGTCAGGCCTGGTTTCGAATCCTCATTCTGTGATGACCTTAGATAGGTTACTTTGATAAGTTCTTCATCGACAAAATTGAGATAATAAGGGAGGTCATAAGTATGTATAAAGCCTCTACTATAGTGGCAGACACATAGTAGGTGCTCCATAAATAATCAGTATTATTAGTATAGACTCCATTGATGGAAGGTACTGAAATTAAATCACCTTAAAATTAGGATTCATGTTTTCAACGTTTTTCTATTCCCAGTACTTAATGAAAATGCCCTGCATATGGTAGATGCTCAACAGATGTTCAGATTGTTGACTGGGAAAGTCTAGAAGTGGTTGGCAAGGAATGGAAGGTGGGACAGGGCATATTATGCTGTGAAAGTGTGAGTTCAGGCAGTTCAAATGTTCCTTCTCCTTTGAAGTGTTCCCTGATCCCCTAGGCAGAATCTGTCCTTCCCTCCTCTGTGCTTTGCATGAGTGACTGAAAGAGAGGGCAAAAGCCTGAGCTAGAACAGAGAGAGCAAACAGGGGAGGGCGAGGGGGCGTTGCAGAGGAAGCATGCTCTATCTAGGGAGCGAGAGAATGTGCACGCAGGGGAGTGAAGGAGGCAGGGTGTGCTTGCCCCGGCCTGGTGGGGAGGGCGGTCCTCAGGCAGGGGAGATCACAGTGAGAGGAGAGAGATCCAGAGCATGTGAAGCAGGGGAGCGAGACGCAGAGCAAACCACATGCAGAGTGAGGTCAGCCGAGGGCAAGGAGGGCTAGGAGAGATTGTGGCGAGGCAGCAAAGAAGTCAGGAATGGGGAGAGAGCTCATTAGAGTAAACCAGAGCAAGCCGTCAGGCCCATCGAGGGAGGGTAAGAGAGGGAGAGGAAACCATGCATGTGTTCACGGGAGCCCAAGCCCAGGGGGGCGAGTGGGGCACACAGAGGATGGGCCAGTGCATACCCGACACTCTGCTGGGCGCTTGGTATCATTGCTTTGCTTTACCCTCCCAGCCATCCATGCACTCTAACATCTGACGCTTACGAGACACGGTTAGAGAAGTGTGACTTGCCAAGGTTTCCCAGCTAGTAAGTGGCAGAGCTAGGACACAACCCCAAGTCCTTCTGATTCCAGACCCTGCGATTTTAACCAAATCGTTGAACCTAGTGCCCTACTCAGCTTTAGAGAGCACTCAGTAAGTACTTCATAACGAAAACAGAGACTCCAAACATACTCGAAGCCCTTCCGGCTTTCAAAACAAAATAAAATAAGCACTTCAGTTTATTTTATTGCCTCTTTATTTGCCTTTTTCTCTCAGACCGTCCTCTCTAGATTTGTAATCCCATTTCTTTCAATAACTGGCTGTACAAATACGGCTAAGTAACTAGTTCTCTGACCATCGATGTTTCCATCCCAAGAATAAAGGGGTGGAAGGAGTGAGAGGTGACCCTCATAAGACAGCTCGGGGAGACCCGCCTCCTTTGCTGGTGTACTTCCTCGAGCAGACTGAGCAGGTCACAGGCTCACAACCAGGCGGACCTGGTTTCGACTCTCGCCTGGTGAGCACGCCACCCTGTCCTTCTGCTGACAGGGGTGTCCCAGACCGCAGTGCAGAAGCAGTGCCCCCACAGGCCGACGGGAAACTCAGGCACATGTGGGGCTGCTCTAGTCAGTGTTTACCTGTCACTTCTGCCTTTTTCCTCCCAGCATCCGCCTGCTCTTCCGCCATCCGAACCCCCTGACGGTGCCATCCTACAGGCCATGGAGAATGAGCTGCCGGTCCCCCATTCGTCTAGCAGTGCCAGTGTCCCCAGCAGTGCCAGCGGGGTCAGTAGCAGCAGTGGTGGGAGTGGCCGCCCCGCTGGGCCCCAGATTTCTGTCTACAGTGGCATTCCTGACCGGCAGACCGTGCAGGTGAGATTCCAGCTGATCTCAGGTTGAATTCCTGGATCACCTCCAGGCCTGGCCAGGAGGACGTGTCAGCGTGGTGTGGTGGAATAACTGGGGTGTTAGAGAAGTGAAGCTGGATGGTCCAATCAAGGAAGTTTCAGGAGGGGGAGTACTTAGCAGATCTGGACACGTCTCCCTTACCTGTGAGTCAGACCCCAGAGTGCTGCTTTGGGAGGATGGGTCTGTGAGAGTGTAAGAAACAGTGAAAATAATAAACAGAAAAAGTGACTGGGAGCGGCTCAGCCACAACCTAGACTCACCATCTAAATGACAACTTCCCTGTAACAAATACAAGTTTCTCAAAGACAGAGGACCAAAAACGAACCCCCAAACACTCCCCTGTCCTTGTAACTTCTTACCTACTTCGCCAAAGCAGCAGTTTGCAGAGTCACCCTGCGGCTTCGCAGTGGTTTCACACTGTTCCAAACGCAGCTGTGACCACGTGTCGCCACCTGCTCTGTGCCCAGTGCTGTCTGGAGGGTTTTGCACATATTTACTCCTCCAGCTGTGAGAATGGTTGTTATTCGGCACAATTCTATGGTTGAGAAAACTGCACCTCAGAGAAGGTATAACTTGTCCAAGTCATTCAGGTAAAGACAAAAACTCTGAACCTAATTCTCCCCCAAAACCTGTGTTCTTAATCACTACAATGCCTGCTTGAGGTTCCGGATGAAAAGGGCGGGAGAGAAACTGCAGCCGAGAAGCGTTTGCTCTGTGACTTTGCTGTTACAGCCTGGATGTACCAGACACGTGGCCTCATCCTGCTTCGGCCCCAGGCCCAGGCCAGGGAACGGAGGAGAAGCCACAGCAGACAGTGCCAGGGCCTGAGAAATCTAGTGAAGGAAGGTGCCATGGGACACTCTGGGGCCCTGCCCCTCCCGTTGCTCTGCCTCACACTTAAACCCTGTGTTCTGTGCCCATTACGCCGCCCAGGCTCTTCCACGGCCCGTTTGCATGTGAGCATTGCAGCTGTAGTTTCTAGCAGCTGGCATGAGGCTGTGCCCTCCTCCTGCCCCTCAGCACAACTCTAGGCATCAGGGATTAGGGTTTCTGCTCTGGCAGATGGCAGCACCCCGGTCGTGTGCTGTACGGAAGCCACTTCCCCGCTGACATCTAGCGAGGAAGAGTCGCGGTATCTCTGCCACGGCTGGCGGGACTGCTGGGGGTGCTTTTTGGAGCCTAAGGAAGATGAAGAAGCTTAGGGAAAGGGAAGAAGGAAGGGTCCTGGGGAGAACCAGAACAACGAGGACTGAGCTCATGTAAATCGGGCCCTTCCGAGGGGAAGCGCGGGGTGAGTGGGGGTATCTGGGGAGACTCCAGAGCCCAGGCAGAATCCGGGAATGTGCCTATTTTCACCGAACCCCAAATCTGAGCCCAGCAGTTATTTTGTGCTAGAGCACCAGCCCTGGAAACCACGCTAAGCTGGAGAGACTCGGACTGGAGGCTCCCTTGCTGGGGCAGGACCCAGCATTGGGAGCAGCCCTGTGGCCAGGGATTCAGCAGACTAAGGGCAGGAAGTAGGCCAAGGCCTGGCCAGGGCTCATGTGGGACATTGGGTTGGGAAATGGCGGGAGGGTGACCAGGCAAGGAGAGAGAGGAGAAATGTCTCTGGGGCTCATGAGAAGACAGAGGATTTGGGGCTGGGGGAAAGCATTGCTTCTCTGTTCCTGGGGGTTGGGAGAGGCTCTGAGAGGCAGAGTAAAGAGGGGGAGGGGAACAGAGAGCAGCCTTTTGTCGTTTCCTTTCCACTGTGGCTCAGCCAGTCCCATCAGGAAAGGGAATGGCAGTAAGGCCAGGAGTGGGAGGTGGTGGCTCAGAAGAGGAAGCACTGGAGGGAGGGAGGGAGAGAATGAGAGAGAAACACATCACCCTGTGGCATTGGCCTGCTCTGCAAGCCCCAGGGGCCCTTCTTCAAAGGGACTGGTGGGATTTCCCAGGCAGCTAAGGGCAGACCCTGGGCAGCGGCCCAAGTTTGCCCTGAGGCCCCAGCGGGGATGGTGTGGCCTTGGGTAAGTTTTAGTTGGCTGGTGTCTTGCTTAAGCTGCGATAGGCCGCCCTAGTGAGCTGTCTCTCTTCCCACCCCTTTCCTTCTCTGCTTCGTTGAGCTTTGGTTCCCTCTGTCATCATCTTCCCTGTGTTCCAACCACCCTAACCTGAGGCTGAAGAATGGCGGTGAAGGGCAGTGTCCTTGGCATGGGACACAGTGTCACTGGAGGCTTAAAGGACTTCTGTCTCCCTCAGCCTCTCCACTACCTGAGAGTGAGTCAGAACAGTGGTGGGCTGCCCTGAAGTCAAGGGGAGCAGACAACACAGGGGCAGACAGTTCTGGGGAGCATGTGCCCTGAAGAGATGCAAGATAGACAAGGCAGAGATGCCTCCCCCACCTGCCTGAGAGGTGCTGGCTGTGGTGGTGCTCTCAGACCTGGTGGCCTTCCCTGAGCGGTTGGAGACAGACGGGGCTGACGGGCGTGGTTGCAGGAGGGGCGAATCTGCAGGAGGCGGGCGGTAGGGCTGCTGAGATCGCTGTGCCCCCCCCCACCCCCCAGGTGATCCAGCAGGCCCTGCACCGGCAGCCCAGCACTGCGGCCCAGTACCTGCAGCAGATGTACGCGGCGCAGCAGCAGCACCTCATGCTGCAGACGGCGGCGCTGCAGCAGCAGCACCTCAGCAGCGCCCAGCTCCAGAGCCTGGCAGCTGTGCAGCAGGTAAGGAGACGGGCTCCGCCAGTGCCACCCAGGTCGTGGCAGCTGCGTAAGTAAGAAAAGCAGGCACTCCACACGCGCTCCGTGCATCCTCCCTGGGCCCGCACAGAACCCTGGGAAGGAGCGTCATTGTCGTCAGCACCCTCTAACCGATGAGGAAAGAGGCTCTGGGAGGCTAAGCGCCTAGCCAAGGTCACACAGCCCTTTGGTGGAGCGGCTGGAACCTTCAGCCCGCCCAGCCCAAGGAAGGAGGCCTTCCGCACTGTGTCCCTGCACCACAGGGATGGGACCAAGGGTCAAGGAGTCCACAAGCAGAGGCTGTTGCCCATTCGGCTTGCCTGTCTGCCATCAGTGCCTGAGGAGAACTCATCATTCATTCAACAAAATTTTTATGCACCTACTATATGCCAAAGTTATGTCAGGCACTAAATATACTGTGCACCCTGTCTTCTTGGAGCTTTTAGTGGGGAGAGAGCCAGTAAACAGAAACCCAAATAGACAAGGAAACAAAATATGTAAACATCTCAGTTGTGATCAGCTCTGTGAAGGAGAGGAGCAGACCACTGTGACTGAAGTACAAGGAAGACCTTAGGTTGGGTGGCCAGGGAAGGCCTCTCTACCGGAGTAACATTGACACTACACTTGGAGGGTGACGAGAAGCTGGCCAAAGGGAGAGGATAGGCTGGACATCGCAGACAGCGTGTACAATACTCTGCCTGGGGACCCAGATACGACAGGGAGGGAAGGAGCAGAGGGCTGAGAGAGCAGGAAACCTTGCTAATAGCCATAGCTGACAATTAGAATGCTTACGTGCAAATGCCTTGCCGTGTACAATCCTTCTGGCAGTCCTACAAGGTGGACACTGTTTTTATCCTCACTTTATAAAAGAGGAAACTGAGGCACTGCTTAAGGTTATACAGATGAGGTAGAATGAAGGTCTGACTCCTCACCACTGCCCTGTAGTACTTCCTTGGAGGGTGAGAGCCTGGGGCATGACTAGGGGAGATCTGGGACTCTAGTGATTAGACTTGTTCTTTTCCAGGCAAGCCTGGTGGCCAACAGACAAGGGAGCACCTCAGGCGGCAGTGTGTCTGCACAGGCCCCAGCCCAGTCGTCCTCGGTGAGTAGGATGCAGAGCAGTGGGCAGAGCCCACAGCTCTAGGACCAGCTCATTCCTCCTTGCTCAAGACCCAGTCATGGTGAATCCTTAGCCACGTACAATCATGGCTGGAATCTATTACTCTTGCCAGAAATAAAGTATGTGTCATTTCCTAACCCTTAGTTTTGGTAAGTCCCTGCCATCTTTCCACTGTCAAGGCTCTCTGTTCGTAGCTCAGTTCTCTCGCCATTGGATCCTCCCTGCAGCTCTGCATGTAGGCCAGAGATAGGGCAGTGCTGGAGGGAAGATCCAGGGCCCAAGGACCAGAGACGGTTTTGAATGAGACTGAATCCACCAAGGGACAGAGTGGGGAGAGAACAAGATGGATGCGGGGCACGGATCAAACCAACAGAACCTCCTGTTTCCTACTGCATGTGTCTCTCTCATCAGATCAATCTGGCAGCTTCCCCAGCAGCAGCCCAGCTCATCAACCGGGCTCAGAGTGTCAACTCAGCAACAGCCTCGGGCATTGCCCAGCAGGCTGTGCTCTTGGGCAACACATCTTCTCCAGCCCTGACTGCAAGCCAAGCACAGATGTATCTGAGGGCACAGATGGTGAGTACCCAGCCTGGGCCATGGCTCAGGTGGGCCTGGGGAAAACAGGCAGAGAATTCAAGAGCTAGGAGTTTAGAGAAGGGTGGGGATCCGTCGAGGGAGGGGAAGAAGCCTAGGAAACAGTTGGCAAGAGATAAGGGTAGAAGAAAGAAATGGGGCCGGAAGGCCAAGGGGGAGCTTTGGCATAGGCTCCATGACTCAAGGACAGGTGGGGTTCCAGGAAATAAAGTTAGCCACAATGCCTCCTTCCTTCCCTTCCTAGAGTGCAACTGAATTGTCCTCTTCTTATCATAAGCCATTCCCTAAAATTAGTTAGGGTAGAGAATGCAGGAGTCCTTCCCCAGTGGTCTGTACGCTCGGGCGCGTGAGATAAGCAAGCACAGAAACGTCCATATCCTCTACAGAAATGGGAAGCTGGTCTGTCTCACTGTGACAGTCCTTGCCGTTGCACAGGGGCCAAAGGTACCTCCCGGCTCAGGTGAAGGTGGCGGCAGCTTCGGGACAGGCTGCGGCCTCCGCTGCCCCCCCAGCTGGGCCTGCTTCTCATCGGGATCACCCTATCATTTGTTAGTCAGGTGGACTCAGGACGGCATCAGCCCTGGACATGCAGACATAAAATCTCTCCTTCACACCTGGCCCTAAGGGCTGCAGAAGTCCTTAGGAATTTAAGAGGTTCCTGAGATTCAGAAGAACTTCCTGGGAAAATAGCAGCCTGCCCCCGAGGAGACGATAGCATCTAATGGCTCTCCGCCGGGCTCAGTCCAGCCTCCTATCTCCCATTCTGAAGATTTCTCCCTCCAGCCCCTTGGCATACAGTCCTCCCCTCCCTTGCTCCTGACGCCAGAATTGGACACTTGGAGCTTTTCTGGTCTTGCTCCTGCACTTCATTGCTAACTCTGAGTTCACTGTTTGAGGTGCAGCTCCATTCCCAGGGACTAGCCTCTTAGACATACAGCACAGAACAGACTTCCATGTCTCTAGGGAAAGGACAGCCACATTGTGACCCTGCCCAAGCCTGCCTTTGTCTTCAGTTTACTCTTTCCCTTGCCCTACTCAGCTGCCCCAACTGGAGTCCCGAAGCCTGCCTGCCTTCCTCCCCAAAGCAGAGAGTACATGCACAGAGGGGCAAGCACAGGTGCCTCCCAGAGTTCCAGGGAAAGCACGCTCCAAGACACCAGCATGTCCGCACTGGTGCCAAGCCAGACTCGCAGGGCTGGGAGCATCACACAGAGACCATCACAGAGCCTGCACCCCATGGAAGGGATGCAGACACGAGCACAGCTCTAGGTGCTCTGCTTCCTACACACACACACCCCTAAACTCAGCTTAAAAATGACCGAATCATCCTTTCTGGAGCTGAGTCCTGTTCTGACCCCAACCTGGAGTCAGGAGTGGGTTAGACCCAGACAGTGGTCCTAGGGCATCTGTCTCAGCCCAGGGTCCCTGCTCCCCAGGATGCTGCGGAGAGAGTGACTAGGATGTCCTGTGAATGTAGGTCTCCTCTAGGATGAGCTCCTCACAGAGGCTTCTGCAGTAAACCTGATGTGGGTACAGCCCCAGCATGGCTCTCCCCGACCACTCACCCCTTCACAGCCCAGCCGAGGTCAGGACGCCACAAGCCTCTTGAGATTTTCAGGGGATCCCCTTGGACTCCTTCCCTGTCTTGTCTCCCTGTTTCCCCATATCTGCTCCCTGACTAAACTGTTCTGTCCTATGGCCGAGCCCACATTGGGCAGGTAAAAGGCACCTCGTTTCCTGTGATTCCAGGCCCAGCCAGGTAACCTGGTGCAGGTAGCTAGGAGCCTAGGCGGCACTGTTCCTTTGTCCCCTCAGCTCATCTTCACGCCCACGGCCACCGTCGCTACTGTGCAGCCTGAGCTCGGCACTGGCTCCCCCGCCCGGCCCCCCACCCCTGCCCAGGTGAGGATTCCATCTTGCGGGAGGGTAGGGGGGTGGGCACCCCATAGAGGGGTACTGATACCGGGTATGGGCCCAAGTCCTGGTGGAGCTTTGAATCTTTGGAAAGGCTGGGATCTTCTAGGAAAGCAGGTGGGAGACAGGACAGCCCAGTGCTCCCAGACTTGCTCCTTCATTCCCCATGGAGAAGGTTTCAGCCACTCCTGACTGTTCCTGCGACACAGGTCAGGAGTCAGAGAGCAGCGGCCTGAGGTCACACCAGTGAGACCCAGTGGTCTTTGCTACCTTTGTACCTTACACTCTCCCTCCCCAGTGCAACTTCTGCTGCTGTGGTTGCTTTTTATGTGGAAAATCCCTCTCTGGTTACACACACCAGCACCCCTAGGAATCGGGGAAAAAGGCATGGAAGAGGGGGCAAAGATAGTCCTGAGTCCCTACCCACTGCTGGGAGCGCAAAGATCTGCTGTAGCTGGAAAGATTCCATGGGCAGCGGGGTGAGGAACACCCTCCCCCTCCCCCTTC